ATATATGTGTGTGTGTGTGTGTATTCATAGCTGGAAGGATTATACAGATCTGAAAGATTATAATCTTCAGCTACCAGTGGCAAGTAACTACTGCTGTTGCTTTGGCTAGCATTAGTCACATTTTATTAATGCAGCTTTTGTAACAGTCAATTATGGGTAGTTATAACTTGCCTTCCTGCATACCTTCATGTTTAGCCTGGTCCACAATCAGCATCCTTAGTTCAGCCAGTTCAGCCTTCAGCTGCTCAGCAGGCTCTTTGGAATGGCTGGGCTCTATTTTTGATTCATCTAGACAAGTAAGAGAGAAATGCAACACATTATCCTTACCTTTGTGCATTACATCAGTTCATAAAATGCATTCAGCAATCTCTGCATACATTTTCTGTAAAAGCAGTAGTTACTTTTCTATAAGCCGTAACAGATCCCCAAACTGTCAATCTGCCACATATACAGCTTTGTTTTTACATTCGAAATGTGCTATTTGATTAATCATTTATGAGTTTATGCCTAGTTGCAGAAAGGAATTCAGTTTTTAAAGACAAGAGGCAAAAGACTTCTCCTTTCAGTTTTCTTCCTACTTGCTTTAGCTCTCTGCCCCTCACAGAAACATTTGCTATCCTCAAAAGACTGGAACCAGTCTCAAAATACACAGAGAGACATTACAGTGTAAATACTACGTCATCAGCTTTTCCTCAAGCCCAATACCATGCAACATCTCCATATGCTCTGTGTTACTCCATTTTGCTTTTTGTTTAAAAGAAGAAATAAAAGGAAATTCCTTTTACCACTAGAAAGAGAGTGCCACCAGCAACAAGCTGCCACAGCACAGCCCCAGAAACCACCCAGCACGGTTTGTTAGACAGGAACAGTGTCTCGTACACTCAACCATGAACAAGAGAAGTAAATAACAAGGTTAAAATTAATACTTGTTATAAACACACTGTAAAGCAACAAGGTGTTAGGAGACTGCTGAGTCACCTGTATGTGCAAGAGGGAGCACTAACGAACAGGGCAGGCTTAGAGCTGACCAATACTCCATCCTGCTCTAAATCCAGTCTCTGTGCAAGAGCCCCAGGGATGGATTAGGATGCAGGGGACGGCAGGGGACGCAGCTCGGGCTGTGCCACTAGAGGTCACTGGCAATTCAAGGACTCCTGCAGAGCTCTGGCTGCCCGTTGGGATCCTGCTGATCCTGGCACGCAGGGATCCTTCATCCCTGCCGGTTGCCAGGACAACCTCTGCAGCCAGACTGCCGCACATCTGCGGTTCACCAGGACTGCTTCGTCACGCCTCTCGAGCTACCGCATCTCCAGAAAGCTTCAAACACCCAAAGTGCCCTGAGTAGGAGTCAACTACAGATTTGTCTCTATACACAGAGTACACTTATCCCCACCACACTCTGGGAACGATCTCTGCTCACTAGCCTGACCTTTTCATTTTGTATAAACCTGTGGTGAGGATGTTGTCCATTTTAAGATGCGTTTGAAACACCCACTTGCTGAAAGAGATAGGAGAGCTCATTAAATATCTATTGCACTGACACACACTGCACCAGTAACGTGGCTACAGTGATGGGACCTGAAATTAGTGAGGCCTTCCCGCCCAAACGCATGTAAAGTATGCACTGCAATCCCTTTACCGCTGGCTCCGTTCCCAGCCCCTCCTGTTTCCCCAGATCTCAGTCATGCACAGTAATCCATTCTTAAAAGGGGATGACAGCACAAGTGCCATTACGCAAGGGATCAACACAGCAGGTTCACACCCCAGGCTAGCCGGAGCTGAGAGGCGTTCAAGCTGCAAATGCTGATTCATGTAGATATATTTGAGCTAGATTTAAATCAGCTAGCTCAGGCATCAGTTGCAGCCTCAGCACAGCACGGAGCTCCACACGGACTGCAAAAATCCCACCCAAGCAGGATAGGCAGAGAAAGTCATTACGAGACTAACTATTTAATACCTCAGTAAGACATAAAGAACATACACATATTTACACACAGATTAAAGACCTAATCAGCCATAACTTTTTGAAAATTTTCAATTCAGGAGGGCAACAATGGAAACAGTAACTTTTCTTTAAACTGATCCATAAGTAAGTGTTGTATTTTTTACCTTGTAACATTTTCTCTTTCATAGCACGACAGGCTTGCATGTACGTGGAGTACAAGTTTGAGGGTATTTTATCAGCTCTATAATAATAATAATAAAAATAAGACACTTATTATACCACATAACCACATTCAAACTTCAGCTTTATTAAATATAAGCATAAACAGCAGCTATGCTATGAAATGTAATTACAGAGGCTCCAAAGCATACAGAGCATCTGAAGCATTTTTTAATCATCATCTGACACGAGGGCCAGGAATTTATATCCAAGGCTTTCACAGCAAGTATTACACGTGTAACACACACTACACAAAACCAATACTATATATATTATTAATGCATGCATTAATACCTATTTCATCTATAGTACGTGTCTAAGATCACGTAAGAGTAAGTTATGTGACATGCAGTACTCACACATCTAAAACGCTAGTGTGATGGAGTCCAAAGTTTGACCTCCAACACTTGCTGGGCAGGCACCCAATACTAAAAACGTATTACGTGAGGCTCCCTAGAACTCAGCTGCTTCTCTTACAACTTTAAAAAAATACTGGATCATTTTTTAAAAGTAGAGTCAGACTGGAATGACAAGGCAGGACCAAATGCCTCATTTGTAGGCAGTGCTGTGAACATTTTTTCTTCATGACAGGTTACAGAGGAATTACTGGATTTAAAATAAAGCTGTTTCTGCAATGCAGAAAAGCACTTTTAAATATGCATACAGGACAAGCTTGAGTTCTGAGAGCTGTGTTCTCCTGGGACATTATCCCGGTGTCCCCTAAGAACAGCTCATAAAGCATTAACACACGTTTAAGTTTCATCTTCCCCTTCTCCCATATTTTCTCCCACAGAGAGGAGAGCTTTTCACAGGGGGCTCATCTTGCTGGTGAAATTTTATATTCAGCAGTATCCTCCAAAGTCTGCATAAAAATATATCTGGCCTGCAGTCGGAGGGCTGCACGGGACTTCTTCTAGATAATGATTTTAGAGTGGCTAGAGGACTAATTACAGAACTGAAGACATTCACCTATACAGATAAGCTACCCCATCCGCAACATGCAAGCCACAAGCCTGGCCACGAAGCCCTGCCAAGAGGGTTAGCCAACACTTGTAAACAAGGTATCAAAGCCTCCAGTAATCTGATGTAAAGTCAAGTGTTCCGAAGACAAAGTCCAGAAGCACAGAAAATAATACTGGGAAGTCTCAATACCTCTTTAAAGAATCTATAAAAGCCATGCGCACATCTGGGGTTTTAGGGAGCTGCAATAGAAAAACAGGCAGGTTAGATGCAAATTACCTGTCTACAAACACACATCTAAATGGGAGGATCAAAAAAAAGCCAAAAATAAATACTAACCACACGTGGCCTGAGCAAAGCAGGAAGAAACCAGGAAGTATAATATGGTCGCCTGAAAATACTGAGACAGAAAATAAATATAGCAAAATATTAACAATGCCAAAGCTGCGAAGTGCCATCTCATTACCTCAAGAATTAATTTGGCTCCTGCAAATAAGAAATATTCATGGTAACATGAATAACCACAGACAAATCAAGTTCAGATTAGCCAATAGTTATTCATTTCTTTAATTTTGCTTTTTATTTATTATAACAATTGTGGACTTCTCTTGCAGGTGTGCATATGCCTTTTCACTCTCTGAACAAATTGCCTCTATTTAGATGACTACTGAGGAAGTGGATAACATGGGAAGAATTTCCCCAAACCTCCTTTGCTCACATCCTCAATTTTTCTTGTTTTGTTATTTTGATTTGGACTTGGCTTGTATTATTATTATAGCTAAAAACAAGAAGAGTTGAAAAGCACACAGTACCTGGCCTCTATCACAGATGTTGGGATCTTCCTTGTGTTTTCAAATATCTGAAGGGCCTTTTCAACATCACGAAGCGCCTGGCCCTGGGGCTGGCTCACACAAGTAACAAGGAGAGAAAGATGTTGTGAGAAATCAAGGATGACGATAACCTTCCCTGCTTGTTCTTTCAGGGTTAGTAACAGTTGTCTGTGCTGTGAAGGGAAGTGACTGAACGAATGCAATTGAATAACAAGAACTACCTGATATGCAGAGTAAAACTGCAGGATGGAGAAACAGGGCCGAACCATCAGCCTGCCTCGATAAGGCTGTTATAAATAACAGCTATTCTGGGTCAGCCCAAAGGTCCGTCTAGTTCTGTACACACCTCCTACAGCAACTGCAGCAGATACTCTTGCTTAACATCACATTGTTTGTTCAATTGTCCCCAATGGGGACAATATCTTTTCTCTTCCGAATTTGTTTTATTGTTATTCTATTTTACTGCATACACTTGGAATTAAGACCCACAATCTTGCTTCCAGCCCGTGCTACTACGCTCCAGGCAGCGGGACTGCCACCCCGGGTTTCTCTTGTTCGAGCCATAAGACATCTTAAGACTGAAACCTAAGACTGGGCCAGTTTCTCAACAGACAAACAGATCAGACTTGGAAGAAAGTAAATGAAATCTTCACTTACGACTTTCTGTTCATCACAGGACTAGATTTCATTGCAGTACATTCAACTACCCTGTCACCAGCCTGTATTTCACATACTCCAGTTGACTAACTGTATAAATGAGGCTCCCTAGTCTGCCATGCTTGTGATCAAGTTATAAGAAGGAGCAATAGAGCCAAATGCTTCCTTATCAATTATTGTTGTTACCCAAAACTTATCATGAACCACAGTATGAAACTGCAGACTGTAGATTCCCTCCCAAATCTCCTTTGAATATGAAAACTTTGATACAACACTGAATAGATGACATGCTATACTGAAAAGAATCAAGATACATATAAAATGCTTTCCTATGTGATCAAATCATCGGGAGCAAATCCATAGAGGGAAATGTCACCATTGTATCAAGCTGGCCAAGCGGCAGAGCTAACGCAGCCCCAGTTCCTGCAAACCTGTGCTCTGCATCCCCATGCCATACAACACCATTAGATCTCCATTTGTCCCTTAAATCCTCCCCCAGAGAATCTTCCATTTATTTTCTATATCCCTCAGTACAGGATGGGCAAGAGGTAGCCAGCATTTTCCTGCTTCAAACAGCAGGTGCTGACTGGATGCCTAATGTAGGTGCTGCTTGGCCAGTAGCTGGCTGGCTAATTGCCGAGTTCCTCTGCAGTCTCATCACGAAATACTCATCACAGTCTGTTTGTCCCCTATTTCATTTTCATGAAATCTGGGGAGAGTCTGCATGTTCATGGCCACTAACCCCTCTGTCTTAAAGCTGGAGAAGATTTGGCAGCATGCTCAATCTTGGTAGGAATGGCAGACAGGTGGATAACCTAAGCTATTTTCCAGAGGAAAAGGGGCATGACTGGTGAGAAAACTGTTAGAAAGACCACCAGTACCTGCACAGATTCATCTGTGGAAGACAAGTCTTCATAGAGTCCCATATCTTCTATAGCAACCTGTGTGAGGATACAGAGATGCACACGGTCACGGCAGAGCTAGTATTTTGACAGATTCAGAAAGAACTCTTTTCAAAGCGACAATTTTTACTAACCTTGAGGTCGGCCAGTCTGGTTTTAGCCAGAGTGATGTACTCCAAGAGAATAGACCGATGTTTTGTTGGCACAAAAGGTGGGTACATTATATGGACCTGAAATACGAAATTCACAGGAAGATTTGCCATTTTTACAGGAAATTAGTGTAAAATACTGGTTAATGTTTACAGTCATTTACCTCACATACTCCCCAAAGAAGATGTTATTGCTTGTTTTAAGATAAGCCATTTTCATGGCAACCGACATGCAATTTTTCCCAACAACAACAAAAAAACCAAAATCACTGAAGTGCCTAAATTTAACTCCATGAAGGGAATTCTCCTTTCTGTCAAGTAAATAAAAGAAATCTTGTACTTCCTTATTTCAGGAAGAAAAGATTTGGAATAATGTATCAGAAGTAATGCAATTACTGTAACAACATTAACAATACGCTGAACCTAGTCAAAGACACACGTATGTTCACTTTGGAGCAGTTCTGTATCAGTCTTTAGAAAACCATCTCTATTAGCATCTTCTCACCTTCAGGTACGGCGCTGCTTCAAAGGGCACTAGCTCTGACAAGAACTCAAAGAGGAAGACCAGAGTTTTCTTACTGCTCCCGTGGTGACCACCAGCATTCCCAAAGGAAGCCTGAAACAGGGGGAAATGACAAGGCAGCCTTTCAGCATGGAGAGAATCCCCATCCCAGCACTGCGCTAAACTCAGCGCACAAATCCCAGACATCCATTACAGATATCTGGTTTCTGTCAAGAGAATCTTTCTGGAGAAAAGTCTCCAAAGAAAGTTTATAGAAGTCTCTACAGAAGTTTTCTTTGAGTTTCTTTGTCTAGTTTCCAGAAAGCCTGCCATGTCATGCTCAAAGTTCATTCTGATGTGCTACTGTGAGAACACTCAGAGGAGTTAAACAAGGCAACACGAAAACGCACCAAAGGATTGAGATTCATCAGGGAACCACAAATCCACCAGTTTCTACACAGCTTTATCTGGGCGTTATAAGGAAAATATGCCAGTCTGAGACGATGCAGAACATAACTAGTTTACCTTTTGATACATCCTGAACACTCTATCAGCAAAGGCTGAGCTTAGATTTGCAAACTCATACAAAGGAATTTACAGGTTTAAATTATGTGGAGATTTGCATACCTAAAATACCTACATGTTTATAACCAAAAGCTAATGACCAATTATCTATAAGGTCAAACACAGCAATTACAACTGCATGCAAACATCCAGGAAATAGGAATGCTTCATCTGCAATAACCCACAACTTATGCAGGAACAACAGTGTTGGTTATCAAGATACTGAAATATATCCGAGATTACGATTGTAACAGGAATTACATGTCTGCATTCCTGATAAATAACTAGAGAAGGCAAGATCAACTTAAAAGATGAAGGAAGGGAAGACCGGAGAAAGCCAAATAAATATATTCTTTGCAGACACAAAGGCAGCGATAAATAATTCCTAATACCAACACTTGTTACTCTTTCTTTTTTTTCCTCCCCCCTCTCTCTAATTCCTGGCTATGTCTGAAACTAGGCTTTTGCTGTGCAGCAGAACATTCCTTATGCACAGGTTTGTCACATACTTAAAACAAAGATTACCAGTCAGGCCTCATTTAGTCTTACCTTAAACCATTCGGAGTAAGGCATGAACACAGCAGGGCCCTCTAGAGCAGCCTGACGAGCTATCAGGAATGCAGTGATCATATTTTCCATATCATAATTCTCAAAGGCCTTTATCAGGAGATGGCTCAGTAGATCTAAAAACATAAAACAATAACCTCAAACTTTGCTCTTGACAATGGTGCTGTAATTTTCTACAGTAAAAGACAACAAATATCTGTGATAAAACATCTGCCACACAAAGAAGGATGTGTATTGCAGCTTGGGGAACCTTTGGGGCTTGCTTGTATCTTTTCATGCACTTTCAGTGGTCAAATACTCTAGGATTTCAACCTGTAAGAATCGCAGGGAGTCCAGCAACGAGATAATCAGTAAGAAACTTGAGCAAATAAGGTCTGCTAGCAAAGCTGAGATAGAAGAACTAAGCTTCAGCAATCACTACTCCAATTCATAATGAAGGTAATTAAGTTTGAGAAGCGTCAGGCACCAGGCCTGGCATTCACATTGCCGCTGACGTGCAATGACTGAACGGAAAAGCAGATTTTCTGCTGTTCTTTTCCGTGCACGAATCTCAAAACAGCAACTATGAATGACTATGCTGCTACACCAGCCAGCATGGTCTCCCCCTGAGAAGCAACAAGCACACATCAACTTGCAGGCTTGCTAATTCCTACTTACCTTTGAACAGCTGCTCAGCCTCTGCCTGACAAACTACCAGCGTGGAAACACAGGACAGGACATGCTGCCAGTTCACTTCATGAGTCTCCAGGACTTGCTGCAGCTGGCAGATTGACTCCTTTGCACTGAATGCCACGAACAGCTGGAAGAGTGATAGCAATTCATTTTGGCTATGACATACAGCCACCCGTAAGAGTGAAATACACTGTCAAGATTAACAGGCAGATGTCTTTTGCATGACTTTTGAAAAAGCTATACTGCATGCATCTTTTGCATCAGCTTTCCAGGGCCAGATATCATCCTGGCTTGGAATCAGCACTGGCTAAAATAAGCAGCAATATTCCAATTCTTTCAGAAGTCATGTCATATTCTGTAACAGTAAAAACTCACATCTTCAATTATCATCTTTGTTCTCATTAAGAGCTTTGCACAAAAGTCCCTTTTTCTTCAAAAGTACTACTTGCACAAAAGTAGTACTACTCCTTCATGCTTCATACTGCCTACAATTCCTGGCAGCTGGTTCAGATTCTGCGACTGGAACGCACTATTTTTAAATAATCTCATTTCAGATATTTCATTGAATATAAACCCAACACAGTAAAGTTCTCTTTGTGAAACCAGGAAGACATACTTTGCGATACAAGGTAGTGAGCAGCGAACAAGTTCTTGTAAAGCTCCACTCTTTCTGCATATGGATGGCATCAGACACTGTACCCAGAAAAAGAAAAGTTTACTCTTCAGCAACAGATTTTTAAAATACACCCAAAATGCATAACTTAACCACAAAAGATTGCCCTTTGGCTTTGACAGCCATATACATTAAAAACTGTCTGCTGGAATCCTTTCTCTCTCATTTGCCTTTGGAACACAAACTGTGGCAACAAGGACCGTGCCATTTCACTACAGCACTGTCATCTCAAAGCTGTTCTTGAGATCACACATTTGTAGGCCAACATAATGCATGCACAGAGAACCAGCAAGGAATCATCTTTTTCCTCAATCATCTCTTTCAACTGGAAGCCAGCAATGACACAGCTCTCCCACACAACAGGTAAGCAGCTCAGAGTGATTTTACCAGAGATTTTGTAGCCCAAACATATTTCTTCCTAAAAGCTTCCTAAAAAGCTTCACAATTATCAATCATGGATTAGAAGCCTTCCTGCCTTTATCTCTAATCTACCAAAAGAAACACCCAGTCAGCAGAGAAAGGCTATGTCTTGTGCTTAAACTGACACACACACAGGGGCCAGTCTATTTTAGCCCCAGGCACTCTGCAGCACCACCTCTCCCACTCGGTTTCTCCTTTGCCAGAGCTCTCCCATGTCTGCTCTGTAAAGGCTGCTATTGGACTTTACTCCAAATATTTGTTCACAAGCCATTGGCTGAAGCTCTGTTTGAGGGCACTGATTTTCCACCTGAAGCTTTCTGCTGAACTACAGCCCTCTAAAGCCCAGGGCCCAGATGAATTTTTCTGTCTGATCTGGCATCCTGCTTATATAGCCCCGGGGAAAGAGCTGGGGAGTCAGGCAGCTTCTCTGGCTCTGGGTCCTCCAGGCTGGACTCCGTTCAGCGAGGCCTGGGTGGGATGGAGCTCCGGACACACCACAGTAACACACCCTGGAGACACTCGCTCCTCCCCGCCTATTCCTACCTTTCAACAATGGGTTGTAGGTAAGAACCTCGGTCAGGGTGTGTCTAAAAAACTGCTGCAAGGAATCCGGACGAACCACACTTTTATAAACTGACACACTGAACACATTCAGCCTACAAATGACAAGGAAATATTCAGAAACAACGCACAGGAAGTATGATCAACAGGTACTGATTAGGGTGAATGACTCATTTTTCTTCTACATCTATCTTATCAAATTGCCAGAGATACACACTTTTTTGTATGTGTTTTAAAAAACCTGTTCGTTACTCAACATTACATAGCTATCATTTACAAACTTGAGTCAAATGTATACCCCTGCACAGGACAGGACTGGCTTGACATGTACAAAGTTGTTAGACAAAAGGGGTTTGGGAGCAGGAATTGGAGGAGAAGACGACGGCACCTTCCAGGTGTTTCTGCTCAGAAGCAGAGTGAGAAAACTTGACGGGGAAACTCACTACATGTCAAGAGAGTGCTCCAAGATTGGTTCCAACACTGCCAGAACACCTTTTCGCACCTGATGCTTATCTTTTTACATGCATTTTGACTTGCACATATTAGAGAGGAGAATACTAAACATAAGTAGCACAGGGTGGGGAACATTCCCCCTATTTCAGTAACAAGCGTAACAGTGGATAAAAACCTCCTCCTGACATTATTCAGGGGAACAGCATTTCGTACCAGAACTTCATAGCTTGCAACGTGGAAACATCTTCCTGCTTCTCTTTACCAACAGCATCAAGGACCCCTGTACCCCAAAGTAGAGACACAAAAACGCAATGAGAGAAATGGAAATGGAAGGAACTGTGACACTAAACAACACAGGAACTAACTGGAACAGGCAATTTGTGCACCTTTAAGAAGGTGACCCCTTTAGGGAAATGTGTAGAAGCCATTCAGAAGCATTAAATTCTTCTGAAATTTTTTCAAAAGTGACACAGAGACTCAAAAACTATTAACACTAACCTTGAACCAATTTAAAAGCATTCCCAAGAATGTGCTAATAATTAAGCCAACTGAAAATGCACATAAATTAGTATTTAATTTCTAAACCCAATCCTAATTGTGCAGTGCATCTGTGAGTGTGAACATGGCAAAGCTGCAGAGAGAAAAGTCTGTCTGGAGGCAGGGATTTGCACAAGCAGGCTTTGAATTAACAATCCCTGGAAACAATGGTCTTAACCGCCCTCACCAAACAAAGAGCACGCCGCTGTAAGTGCCGCACATTTGCAACAGCAGTGGGACTTCATGCTTAGCAGAAATTCCTTCAAAAGCTAGATCTGCCCCAAAATGACTGGTAGAGGTCAGACAGGTTGGCAGCTTGCTCAACACATTGCCTTGACCATCAGCCCACACCACTCAAAGCCCACATACCGAGAGACCCTTTGCTTTACAGCCTGCTGCAGCAGCAGTTTTTCTGTTTCTTGTCCCATCCTACCTTTAAAAGCCTCCTCTTTTAACAGGTAAAGGAGTTTGTTTTGTTTATTAGGATTATTCAGTGAAGCACCCTGAAAAGGAAATTTACTGGGCTGGGGCAGCAAAACAGGCGTCCCTCACATGCCATTTGGAAGGCAATCCACAGTGTTAATATGTAATACTCTCCTCTCCTGCTGAGGAATATTTTAAGGTTAAGTAGGGAGAATAGAGAAAAGGAGATAAACTCTACTTATCCTCAGGCACAGGAGTTCAATATAGCAAGATCATTACTATGAAGCATGGTGCTCCCATGCTACTCTCAGCCTGTCCTTCTCCTCCTGTGAAGGTCCTCATTAATAGTGAATTGTTTTGCATAAAGAATCCTAATGTTCTTCAAAGCAGCTGATTAGTTAAATGAAATCAAAAGTATACACTAACAAAAATATCTTATATAAAACTCATTTAATACATTTTCAAGCACACCGACTGCAAGTCAGTCAGTGGCAGTGCAGGCTGCACAAACGTGAAGGTCAAATGAAGAGCAGGTTAGCAGACTCCTGTCTGACTGCCAGCAGCCTGCTTCTCTTCCTCCAAAATCCCCCTAGTCCTGTGTTTATAAGGGTTATTTTTCAAGTACCAATACTGTTAAAGGGCCACCATGAGACAGGACTCATACATATTAAATAATAAAGCACTTCTTTTACAGCTTTCTCTTTTTAGAAGCACTCCGCAAGGTCTGTAAGGCATCTCTGTCTACAGACAATGCTCCCTGCGAGACACGGGGTAAGGGATCAGGCTGGCAGTGCCTGGGCAGAGAGACAGAAGGGAGGGACCAGTCCTGGTGTTGCATCCTGGGTTTCAGTCATCTTACAGCGGAGAAAAAGCACTCGCCCCTGCAGCAGCACTGAGCACGTTGCTGAAACATGCCAGCAAGAAAAGTGGTGAAGTGCTGTCACTAAGGAGACAGGAAAGTAACCGCAGCTGCGCAGTCAGATTTTACTAATACACTGGGGTAGGGCACGTGAGGAGGCGTACGTGAATGTGAGGAGGTGTAAGTGAACGCTTCCTTCACTGTACAGCAGATACAGCAACTTACCGTGAAGATCATCTGTGACACAAGACAAAAATAACCCTCATGTGTGTTTAGTCATTCTGCGTCGGGATTTGCAATGCAGATCAGGCACTACTACGCTTGAGCTCTCAGCAGCAGCATCAGGACTGCCCAGGGCAAAACAGGCACATTGTCCATGGGACAGTTCTTGAAGACTGGCCATTTAAAGACTACACATGTACATTAGATGTCTTTGCTTAAAAAGCATAAAAAAAAAGATTTCACAAAACATCAGTCTGCAAATCCAACCCATGAACCAGCAAAATAGCTTACTTGCTATTTTGTAAAATATACTTTGTAAATTCAAAGTTTACTTTACTAAGCAGAAAAAATTCTAGCTTAACCTCTGTGCTACAACAGATTGGATTGCTTCCAATCAAACTTGCTAAAATCAGCTCAGATATCAACCTGATGTTGCAGCTAGGAGCATCAAAATGAACTAGCATAAAAAGCAAGAAATTACCTGCAATGTTAGAAGACACTCACTTTACAAAAGCAAAAGGGAAAACAAAGGCACGTAAAATCAGTGACATAAATGTTATGCACAAGAGAGGAAAAGCATCCCAGGCAAAGGATTTCTCCTTAGAGATTCAGCAACGTCCTTAGAGATTTAGCAATGAACAAGGAGCATAAGTCTAGCAAACAGCAGTGACTGCACAAAGCTACGAATCACAAAAACACTTACATGTCAACATTCTTTGTAAGACAGCATGACAGATCTGTTCAAAATTGACAAATAAAGACCATTTAGAGTTTAAAAGAGCTACAGTTATATGCAGAAAAAGTAACTTGTCTCAAAGAAAGTTTTGTCCCTCTTAATTTAAAGCTTAACTTTTACCTCAGGCGTTATGGTAGAGCAGATACAATAGACAGAAGGGCAAGCATTTCCCATACTTACCAGGATTCCATGCCTGACATTCAAGTGGAAAAAAGAGCAATTAAGGTGAAACCAAGGAAGCTCACAAAGCCCTTGACACCTCACCTTGGAGAAATTCTCTATTAAAAAAAAAAAAAAAAAATCTTTGTTCTGGTTTCACCATTTCCTCCTCACCCACTCCAGCACCTGGACTACCACCCTGTCTTTGTTGCTCTAAGCCGATTTATTTATACTCGGCAAGGCACAGAGGTATATAATGGAACTACTTTTTTAAAGAACCGTTTGTAAATAGGTTCATTTTGTCCTTACATAGGGGACTTTTTTGAATTCCAACTTCCTTCCCAGCTCCGAAGTTTGCTGAAAGCCATTCTGAAGAAACATGATCGCAAAGTCTGCAAATCAAGAAGGAATTAGTGTTTCAGCATCCGCTTTCAATAAAGATCACTTGCTCTTTCGCCTCCCCATCTCAGTCTCCCAGTAGGACTAGTGCCTGAAAAGCATCATTCACTACATAGTAGTCAGCAGGATTCATTTATTTTCTTGGAGTAAAATTACTCCCAGGCAAAAGGACCTAGAACAATGGATGGCAAGGAGCACAGAAACTTAAAGGATTACAAAAAGACTGAAGAATTTACAGGTGTTATGCTCTATTACCACTGCAGAACTCATATGGGTTGTACCTGACCAACTGCACCAGTCCAAAGGTCTGACTACAGCTCTTCAATCAAATTGTGTAATGATTTTTAAATAATAAAACAAAATAAATAATAGAAAATGACAAGGGGAAAATGGAACTGTTAAATATTTCTGGTCCAAAATCTCTCAGACACTTTGCAGGAGCATCACACTCTCAATATATCATCCCTGGCCCCATACACCTTGCAACCACACTTTCTTGTGATACTCAAAGGGACACAGAAATTCAAACCAATTATCTTTTAAGGGCAAAAATTGCTAAATTCACCAAATATAAAAATATATTCCCCTCACTGAAATGACGTAAGAAAATGCAAAGCGAGGCCTCTGTTCTTACACCTCCAGGCTTTTGGCTTGCACAGCCCTTGCCGCAGGCTGTGCGGACCAGCAGCCGGCCCCGCTCCGCCAGCGCCCAGTTGAGTGCCTTGCCTGAGAGGATGTGCCCAGCCAGCTCCACATCCCGGGAGGAAGACTCCGCCTGCTCACAGAGGCCATGAAGGCTGCTGCACAGCCACTCCACCACAGCAGGGGCGGCCGGGTTGCTGAGAACAAACAAAAGCACATTCAATTCAGTCCCTCCTTTTTGTAAGGCTTGGGTTTTTGCTCCACCATCCTCTTGGACTCAGGAAAGAACCATCTGTGCAGGACTCTGCCCTATATGTAGCATTTCATTTCTTTAATTTGGACCAGCAAGAGCTTTACTTGCTTTATAAAAAAATTCCACAACAGACATATCCAAAGGAAAAACTACACGTGAAGTTGTGTGTTCAAGTATTTCCATTTTAAAAGTTCTGCTAGAAGAAAGACTTTAGTTCTTATTTCTAAGATACTTGGATAAAAATGCTTTAAAAAAAAAAAAAAATCAAGCTCTTAATCTATCCCTTTGGTTTCCTTAAATTTGAAGTACAGTGGGCACTGAAGGCTTTTTTCCTATCCCATTAACAGACAAACCAGTATCAAAAGCCTAAAAGATCACTGTAACATTCCTTTGACACCAAAGGAAAACAACCTGAACTTCACAAAGGAAAACTGGTTTTAGTTGTTAGCTCTTTGGGAAAAAAACATAAAATAAATCAATTCTTAGACTAACTGTGCTCTGGAGATTAACTCTTCCCAAGCTTACTGAAATGTAAGGTTTTGTGAAGACAGAAGCACACAGCTTCTACAAAGCAAGACTTCTTGTCAAGACCAGCGCTAATTTTTATGGGCTAAATGAGAGTTTCCAAAGCAGACCCGGCGGCACGGCCAGATGAACTGAAGGAGCTGGGTTACCGAGTCCTTTCCCACACAGCGTGGTAACTGCCCACACCCACCGTGCCAGTAAACAAAGCACTAGATAAAGCATCACCTAGGATGATCTGCAGCAGCGGTTCTCACCAAACCATTTCGCTTCAGACTGCGGCTGATTCGGCAGCCATCAGGCAACCAGTCACCGCACCTTAAACTGCACTAATTAACCCAGAGCAACCTCTCAAACCCAGGGTAACTTCTTAAATCCTGCTAATCTGATCACTTGCCAGGACCTGACTATATTCTTAGTCCAGAATACTCATAACTAATCCCCGATTACATTTCAATAGGCTCTAAGAGATTACATACATCTGCAAACCTATAAACCTCTGCTCACCTCTCCAGCAGCTCTCCCAGTCCAACGATGTCATCTCTGTGCAGATGCCACACAGCTTCCAGCACTGGAGGGTCCTAACGAGACGTCACAATTAGGTCATAGTCTGCATTTTGCAGTTAACATTAACATTTGGCTAACAAAACTATATATAAAAAAACCCGCTAAATTCCGTTTATTCAAATTATCCAGAACTTACTCAAATTTTAAAATGACAACATAGGAAATACCAGATGAGGAACGATTATATTTCATTTTTACTTCCTACAAACTGGTTTAGGGTTGTAGATGCATCATCATTTTAAATTTTCATGGTCAAGTAATAAATCTTTGTCCCCCTGGAATAATGCTGATGATGCATATCGAACGGAGCAGAGGATATCCCAGAAAACAGGTAACACCACTAAGTTTCAAGTCATGTTAATTCAGATCCAGAAACAGTTAGAGAATTATCGCTTAGCCTATTAACTGTTTATTAGTCTCTGTGAAGCGAGTTTGTGCTGCTCTCAAATCCATTTCCCAATAGGAGACTACAGAAAGAGACACTGCAATGATACGAGCAGAGAGGCCGATGGACGCAGAGGAGAAACCAACACCGCTCGGTCGGTCCTGCTCCTGAACGCCAGGCTCGCCGTCGGCAAAATCAGCACTAGGCATCACTTCTGTGCGGATGAACCTGCAGCCCTTCGTGCCTCCCTGCAACATCCCTTCCAGCTCCCACCTGGAACAGCATGTCCCGGAGAGTCCTGTGTCAGCAAAACAGGACTCCAGGGTGCACCTGGCAGGGAAAAAGGTGCAGCAACGACTTCTGCTCATTCCAGCCTCCATACAGAAACGCTCCAAGCCAGAAAAAAAATCTTCACACTTTGTGAAGGAAGAGGTACTCATGAGTCTTGGGCACACAAGCCATTCAGGAGAAAAACCCCATGAGCTTTCTGCAGTGACCAGCAGCTGCCTTGTAGCGTGACCCTAGGCTCACCCACATACTTTGTCTTCGACAACCTGATTCTTTACTGTAACAATCTCAATTACACAGCAGCACTTGATCTCCATGCCTACCTGAGAACGAGCAGATCTTAATCAGCCTACAAAACACACAGGATTCTATTTTCAGCCCAGGATCGGATATTTGAGACTAGAGCATGCCTCTTTATCCTGGCAGATCAGCCTCTTCCTTCTTTCCCACCACAGCAGCGAGCAACCAAACCTGTCCCACTCACAGAAAGTCCTTAACTCCACTTAGAGCATCACTTGTCTTAAGAAAACAAACCACGCAAATGAAATCAAGACACCACATTTGTGAAGCAACGCAAGCTGTTATCTGCTATCATATTTCTCTCAAGACATTTTCTGCGTGAACTCACTTAGGCTTATCACCATTCCGAGATAAATAGAGAACCAAAATGCCAAAGACCCACTGAATATTGCTGGCAAAGCACATACAGGACTTCGGGGACCGTGCCACCCCACAACCAGCTGGGAGCTTTGGCACTGCCTGGTTAATCGATCTGGATTGCTTAGCCCAGACAGCAAACCTATGCACCAACTGACGGACAGAGTTATTAGCATATTTCATTGATAACAGTAAGGCAGTGAAGCTCAATAGGAAAGAAAACGATACCCCCAAAGCTTCTATTAACTGCGGTGTCACCTCAGATGAGTTTAATCCCATTACCCGTGCTGTAAGTCCAGGCGCTGTATTTCCATGCCCTTCCTAGCCGGTTCCTAGTGAGAACCAGCCGTGCAGAGTACCAATGGAAACAGTAAAACATCTCCTTCGGCGAGGCAAGAGTGCTGCTCACCTAGCTCCCTAAAAACCAACGCTCGATCACCAAGATGCTGTCAACTCTCCTTTGTGGCAGTTTCTCAGAAGTGGCCACGCAATTTTAATAATTCAGCTACTTCCAAACCTCTACTAAGTCCTCTTCAAAAAAGAAAATCCCGCTACAGAGGCAAGGAAGCTCCCAGTGAACTTGCTTTAAAATAAACAAAACAAAAAAAACCCCACCATTTATAGTTCAGTTCATGCTTTTGAAAGGTCAGAAAGACCACAGTCACTCTCAGGAGGAGTTCATGACTGCAGTCGACCAGAGCAGGGATGGGCAGCGCCAAGACTGCTCTAGGTCACCAAAAAAACCACTGACGGAAATGACAGCACTTCACTAGTCCATTTAACAGTTATCTGGCCTTCAAACGCTACCACATCCCACAGACGAAGTCTAAATAGTCTGTAACACGGCAACATCTCTCCATGAGTTCTTACCTTCATTTTCCACATTTCTTGGCAGAAGAGTGAGCGACAGAACACATTGTTCGCCAGCAAATCCTTGACTGTTTGAAGCAAGCAAGACAACCTCTTCTGGAATCACCCCAGAAATGAAGCAGAAATAATTTCCTTTGTAAATAACACATTCTTAGAAAAACTATTTGTTGTTTTTCCCCGTTTGCTGCTTTTTAAAGGCTTGAATGGTGGAGCGAATTCATGGGAAAGGCCCAAACCTTTCACCTTAAGGCTGAACTAAAGGCAGCCGGGCTGACAGCAGTGACCTCTGACAGCTCCTCAGAGGTGACTTCAGCCAGCAGTCACGGCACAGCTTTTGTTCGGATGGCCATCACCACACCTGGCTACACTGCAAACTGAGACAATTGATAAAGATGGAACCCTGGATAAGAGAGACCAAACCACGCCAGGGAAGGCTGAAGTACACCAAAGGTGTATAGGATCTGCTTAGAGAGACCTGTGTAACGCTGCACTTCAGCAATGGACAAAAAACTTCATTTCCAAGCTGTCAAAAACAGCCGCTTTCCTGTATAGGAGAACGCCAAACTTCTGTGCGCATGTTGGACACATAAACGAATAATCGGCCTCTCAGGTCCTACGTGTTTGGGTGACTTTATCAGAACAGATAAACTGAGCTCAAAGTCAAACCTAACAATACCGTTTTCTTGATAAACTAAATGTAAACCTTTTCCCTTACTCTCTGGTCCAAGTTCAGCAGTGGTACTTGAGAGGGGCTTGCAGAAACCTGGCAGATGCGCTCGATGTTGGTAACAGCATTTTTGGCTGCCAAGATTGCTATGGGTACACCCAATCTTGAGGCCTGTTCCTGCAGAACAGAGACTGAAAAAAAAAAAAAAAAAAACCAAAAAAAAAACCAAAGCAGAAAGCTGACAGCATGGGAGAGAAAAGGGTTTGAACACACGACTACGAAGACAGGAGTCCCAAGTCTTAAACTCCTTCCGGCACAGATGTCATTTGTTGCAAATCATTTTTATTGCCATGTATCATTCTTTTACTGTACATAAAGCAGGGGCAGAACAACCAGGGGCAGAGGTGGAATATCCTTGCTAAGCAGATTTTTGTATTTTAGCCTTGTGGGGCTCACAGTGACACTTTCAAATAATCAAAATATTTAACGATCAGACCTTGCCAGCAGTGTCTGGATTGCATTTAACAGGCAGAAATTCAGTACATAAAGAAAAGTTCTTTGTCACGTCTGTCTCCAATAGATACTCTTTCACTCACCTATAAATGATTCTGATGATACTTCCTGGTGCTCTACACCACCCTGTCCACCTGGCTTGACTGAATCTCCCACCTGGAAGCCAAACAAAAACTAATAGTCTTAGATGTTTATTACACACATTTACAAACCTACTCCCTCTAAAGCAGACTGAGCAGCCCTGGCATTCTTGGGGGCTGGCACAACTGAAGTGAAATTAACACCAAGCTCCCACATGGTCATGGTAAACCAGAGATTTCAGGGCATTTTACAAGAGACACAAGTACAGTTATCTTCATTTTATGCAGAGAAAAGAAGATACAGGTCCAAGTTACTTGTCCCCAGTCACCCAACAGACCAGCAGCAGCACCAGGAACAGAATTTCTGTCTTTCAAGTCCCTTCTGTGAAGCCACGCTGACATAAATATTTGATGAAACATGTCAAAATGTTGGATCCTTTTCTAGTTAAATCCCCTTTTTTCTTTTTACAAAGACAAATATTCTGTACAGACAGAAACATCCTTGTGGCTGAACTGTGGGAAGTACTTTAATTGTCTATTCAAGTTATCAAAATCAAAAGCTCTCTCCAGTACATGAGGAGAAGGTAGAACATGGATGAGTCAGAATATTGGCTCAAATGCTTTATAGGCAAATACAGGGTTTCATAAAGACAGTCACATTAGTCAAAAATGGTTGGTAATTCAGAGAAAACCCAATAGTCTCTCCTGATTTTTTTTTTTCCCTATATTCACAAGAAGCCAGTTCTGACCCCAAGGAAAAGGTGCTGGATTTCCCTTTGTCCCAAATCCAAACCATGCTTAACCATTTTTAGTCTGTACCAAACATAGCGGAATAAAGGAAAAAAAAAAATCTCATTTCTGCAACACAGACCTCTAAACTTCAGCTTACTCCTACAGCACTGTTTTTTCTTTTCACTTATCATGAAAACTATGTTCCCAGGACATTCATTCTACAGTTGCCCTAGGAAGGACCCTGGTGGAAGCCACCTCCAGCTGGGATCTCCTGTGATCCCCAGCCTGACCACTACGCCCCGAACTATCCCGCTCCTACCTCCAGAAGGAGGTCATTCAGGTTCTGATGGTGATCCAGAAGGCGCAGAGCCGCTTCCTGGAGCTCTGCTCCGCTCCCAAAGGCACTTTTTCGTTTCCTGGCTCTCCCTGCTGAGAAGTTTGGATTTCTTTTATAACCACAGCTTGCTCCGACAGCCCCCCTGAAGACACCTCCCTCTCTCTGCTGCTACAGCACCCGTCACTGACAGGGTGAAGGCAGCCCCGCTCAGACCCTTGCTAGCCATCAGCATGGCAGGAGCAGTGCAGGATGTTTCTGCATGGTTTGCTCCAGGCAGCACTGCAGACAAAGCCCAGCACAAGAAGCCCAGCGCAGCCAAAGCCCTGTCAGGCACTGTCAGCCATCAGCCTCTGAAGGCCTTGGACCAAAGCAACCAAAGTGCCGCCCTGACACC